TGAAATTATATTCCAATATTATTTTCTGACTGACTAAAGCAAGGTACCTTTTCCAGTTGCCACACATGCACACATACCATATCAGTGTCTTCTCAGTTTCTTAAGCTCAACACCTGGAGGTTATTTTTATTTCATACCTATAGACATCATTTATGAGATTCTTTCTTCTTGTTACTTGACTCAACATTTTTACTCATTATCCCACTTTGAACTCTGGTTTGGGCTCTTATCACTTTATTCCTATCACTTTACTCTTCGTAGTAGATTTCATCTCTCATCTTTCAAGTCTATTACAAACAAACCCATTACCATCAAGTTGATTCCAACTCATAGCAACCCTATTGGACAGAGTACAACTGTCCTATAGGGTTTCCAAGGCTGTAATGTTTATAGATAGATCCGTCTGTATGTAGTACAACACTGTCAGTGATAGGATAATATCCATTCACCTGCAAGGAAGACCAGTTAATAGAACTATTATTCAAATTTATGCTCCAACCACTAAGGCCAAAGATGAAGAAATTGAAGATTTTTACCAACTTCTGTAGTTTGAAATTGATAGAACACATAATTAGGATGCATTGATAATTACTGGTGATTGGAATGTGAAAATTGAAAACAAAGAAGGGTCGATAGTTGGAAAATATGGTCTTGGTGATAGATATGATGCCAGAGATCACATGATATCATGATAGAATTTTGCAAGACCAACAACTTTTTCATTGCAAATACCTTTTTTCACCAACGTAAATGCCAACTGTACATGTGGACCTCACCAGTTGGAATACAGAGAAGGTAAATCAACTACATGTGTGGAAAGAGACAATGGAAAAGCTCAATATCATCAGTCGAAACAAGGCCAGGGGCCGACTGCGGAACAGACCATCAATTGCTCATATGCAAGTTCAAGTTGAAACTGAAGAAAATTAGAACAAGTCCATGAGAGCCAAAGTACGACCTTGAGTATATCCCACCTGAATTTAAAGACCATCTCAAGAATAGGTTTGATGCTTGAACACTAATGACCGAAGACCAGATGAGTCATGGAAGGACATCATACATGAAGAAAGCAAGAGGTCATTAAAAGAAAGAAAAGACCAACATAGATGTCAGAAGAGACTCAAACTTGCTCTTGAACGTCGAGTAGCTAAAGCAAATGGAAGAAATGATAAAGTAAAAGAGCTGAACAGAAAATTTCAAAGGTCAGCTCCAGAAGACAAAGTTAAGTTATCATAATGACATGTGCAAAGACCTGGAGTTAGAGAACCAAAAGGGAGGAGCACACTCGGCATTTCTCAAGCTGAAAGAACTGAAGAAAAAAATCAAGCCTCAAGTTGTAATATTGAAGGATTCTACAGGGAAAATATTAAATGATGCAGGAAGTATCAAAAGAAGATGGAAGGAGTAGAGTCACTATACCAAAAAGAATTTGTCAACATTCAACCATTTCAGGAGGTAGCATAGGATCAGCCACCGATGGTACTGAAGGAAGAGGTCGAAGGTGCACTGAAGGCATCGGCAAAAAACAAGGCTCCAGGAATTGACAGAATACCGATTGAGATGTTTCAACAAATGGATGCAGCGCTGAAAGTGTTCACTCGTCTATGCCAAGAAATTTGGAAGACAGCTACCTGGCCAACCAACTAGAAAAGATCTATATTTATGCCTATTCCAAAGAAATATGGTCCAGTCGAATGCAGAAATTATCAAACTGTATCGTTAATATCACATGCAAGTAAAATTTTGCTAAAGATCATTCAAAACTGGCTGCAGCAATGCATCGACAGGGAACTGCCGGAAATTCAAGCTGGATTCAGAAGAGGACATGGAAAAGGGATATCACTGCTGATGTCAGATGGATCCTGGCTGAAAGCAGAGAATACCAGAAAGATATTTACCTGTGTTTTATTTACTATGCAAAGGCATTCGACTGCGTGGATCATAACAAACTGGATAACATTGCAAAGAATGAGAATTGCAGAACACTTAAGTGTGCTCATGAGAAACCTATACATAGATCAAGAGGCAGTCATTCAAACAGAACAAGAAAAGATGTATGTCAGGGTTGTGTCCTTTCACCATACTTATTCAATCTGTATGCAGAGCAAATAATCTGAGAAGCTGGACTATATGAACAAGAACGGGGCATCACAATTGGAGGAAGTCTCATTAACAACCTTCATTATGCAGTGACACAACCTTGCTTGCTGAAAGTGAAGAGGGCTTGAAGCCCTTACTGATGAAGATCAAAGACTACAGCCTTCAGTAAGGATTACACCTCAACATAAAGAAAATGAGAATCCTCACAACTGGACCAATAAGCAACATCATGATAACCGGAGAAAAGATTGAAGTTGTCAAGGATTTCATTTTATTTGGATCTACAATCAACACCCACGGAAGCAGCAGTCGAGAAATCAAAAGATGCATTGCATTGGGCAAATCTACTGCAAAAGACCTCTTTAAAGTGTTAAAAAGCAAAGATGTCACCTTGAAGACTAAGGTGCACCTGACTCAAGCCATGGTGTTTTCAGTCTGCTCGTAAGCATGCGAAAAGTGGACAACGAATAAGGAAGAATTGACGCCTTTGAATTATGGTGTTGACGAAGAATATTGAATATACCATGCACTGCCAGAAGAATGAAAAAAATCTTTCTTGGAAGAAATACAGCCAGATGCTCCTTAGAAGCAAGGGTGCACATACTTTGGCCATGTTATCAGGAGGGATCAGTCCCTGGAGAAGGGCATCATGCTTGGTAAAGTAGAGGATCAGCGAAAAAGAGGAAGACCCTCAATGAGATGGATTGACACATTGGCTGCAACAATGGACTCAAGCATAAAAACGATTGTGAGGATGGCACAGGACCAGGCAGTGTTTTGTTCAGTTGTACATAGGGTTGCTCTGAGTCGGAATCGACTTGATGGCACCTAACAACAACGTTCACAGAAGCAGACTACCACGTGTTTCTCCCACGGAGCTGCAGCTGGGTTTGAACCGCCAACCTTTTGGTTAGCAGCCAAGCGCTTTGGTTAGCAGCCAAGCGCTTTGGTTAACAGCCAAGCACTTAACTACTGTGCCACTAGGGCTCCTTATGTAGCTATTTGTAATAAATAGCTACTAGAAAAATAAATTAAATTCCTTAAACGTCTCTTTTCAGTATGTCATTGTTGCTGTTAGTTGCATTAAGTCAATTACAACTCATGGCAACCCCATGTGTGCAGAGTAGAACTATTCAATAGTGTTTTCAAGGTTGTGAGCTTTTGGAAGCAGACTGCCAGGCCTGTCTTCTGAGGTGCCTCTGGGTAGGTTCAAACTGCCAACCTTTTGACTAGTAGTCAGTGTTTGTGCCACCCAGGAACTCCTCTTTTCATTATAATTCACTAAATTTGGAAACATATCCTACGCAAACTTTCAGCTTTGCTTGCAAGACTTTTCCCACTAATTTGTCAGTCTTTTATATAGCTTCTTTACTCCAGCCAAATATAATGTTTTCTGTATTCAAACACAACAGCCATTATTGCTTCCTTGCCTTTTCATATGTTTCTTCTTCCATACAGATTGTCCTCCTACGCCTTTCTTTTCCAAACTTCTGGGCATCTAGCCTCTTTCAGAACACAGCTAAACTCCCAGAGATTTTCTTATACTTGATAACTGACTATTCATTCCTTTTCTTGATGTTTCCTACATATTTTGTATTTATTTACATTAGAGACCTGTCTTTAGTTGAATTGAAAATTCCTTTAGTGATTCGCTTTTTTACCATTTATTTTAATACAGACTGCTGGCCCACACATGTGCACATAAAGAACATCTAGAAAATATTCTTCTCATACCACACGTTCAATAGGTGAACTTGATAAAATTAAGCATACAAGAATAACAAGATTTTTAAATTGCACACTGCTGCTTATGATATTTTATTACACTTTAAATTCTTTGAATCTTTTTATCTGCCTGTATTGTCATCTCTATGTAAACAGTAAGATTCTTCATTGTAGAGAGTGTCTCCCATCTTTTCTTTTGTGCCGTTATATTAACTTGACATATAGCATACTATTAATTCATTTCTGTTACAGCCAGTGACTCTGTTACATTATACTAGGTTTTCAAAGCTTAGATTTAAATTGGATAAGAAATTTCAAAGTAGCTATGAACTGTAACCTCTAGGAAAGGGATTGGAAGTTCCATAAAGTACTATAAAGTAGTTACAAACTTTAATTTTCCAGAAATTATATTATTATATTAAAAGACTACGATTGGCATTGTAACTGGTGTGGTTTGTGCAGACTAAATTTACAATCCTGTGTACACTGAATACAGTGAACTCTGCCCTTTAGTGGATGAGGCTGGTGCCCACAAATCCTGTCTCTGTTTATAACTCCTGGCACCCTAAATTACACTTATTAAGCCACAGAGATTACGTTTTGAAGGCATCAACATTCTTAAAATGCATGCAATAGCAGAGACCTATTTAGCATTATAACATGTTAGAATTAGAATTGTAGCTATTTTGCTGTCCATGTCCTCATTCTAGAAATGAGGAAACTGAGGCCTGAGCTCATGTGGCTATATAGCTCAGCAGAAGCCAGGTCTTTCCCCTTTTCCTCCAAAACTGGATTTTCTATACCCGCCAGAATATTGTATATGATATATAGTATCATTTTTCACTCCATAAAAACATGGTAGGCAGAAATATAAATGCACAGCAAATTTTCTTTGGGGTTCCTTGGAACATAAAAAATTATGGGTGGATTCAAAGCCAGGACATAAGTTTTTTTGTTATTTGAGATATGAATTTGTATTTAAAATATGAATATTGAGGTGAGGAGATACATGTAACCATGTAATGATTGAAGCTGCCCTAAATTATATTAACCAGAGAAAACAAATATACTCTCTTGTTGACACTGAATGAAACATTTTTCTTAATCAAATTATATATTATCATTGACCTTTTAACTTAGCAAAATTAAAATTTTCCAATTTTGATTTTTTTCAGCTACATGTGGTCATTTGAAAAAGCTCACCTCAGCATGGTTCAGATCATCACAGGACAACTTGTTGAGTCCTTTGATGAAGAATTTAGAACACTCTATGCCAGATCCTGTGTCCCCAGTTCATTTGCTCAGGAAGAATCTGCAAGGGTGAAACAGGGCAAAGCCCTCTGGGAGAATGGCACTTACCAGCATGCAGTGTCTTCCTTAGCTTCCGTTTCCAGCCAAAGAAACCTTTTTGGTAGACAAGACAATATTCACAAACTGGATTCCAGTTGCTTCAAAAACAGAGGGATATATGCTCTAAATGAACATGACAAGTATAGCATAAGGAATCATGTATACAAACCTCATTTTATTCCAAATTTTAATGGTCCAAATACAATCCGTCAGCAACAACCCAGTCAGTTAAATGAAAATTGGAAAAGACATAGTTATGCCGGAGAGCAGCCAGAAACAGCACCATACCTGCTGCTTAACAGGGCTCTGAATCGAGCCAATAATCCACCCAGTAATTGGAAAAGGCCTTCAGATAGTCTCAGTGTAGCATCGTCATCACGGGGACGCTACACAAACCACCATAACACACCTGCCCAGAGTTTCGCTAATCGGCTCGCCCAGAGAAAAACAACAAATCTTGCAGAAAGGAATTCAGAAGTGCGGAGGTCTTTTAATGGGACAGATAATCATATTCGCTTTTTGCAACAACGAATGCCAACCCTTGAACATACCACAAAGTCATTCCTGCGTAACTGGAGAATTGAATCCTACTTAAATGATCATTCAGAGGCTGCACCTGATTCAGCTCTGGGTGACCGTTTTGAGGGCTATGATGGTTCTGAGAATTTGAAAGCCAATGCCCTTTATACTCATTCTCGGCTTCGTTCATCTTTTGTATTTAAACCAACTTTACCAGAGCAGCAGGAAGTTAACAGTTGTACAACTGAATCCTCCAATTCAACAATCATTGGTTCCCAAGGAAGTGACACATCTAGAGAGGTCCCAGACACCCTTGCAAGTGTAGAGCAGTTGACAGACAAACCCTCGTCAGACTCAATCCCCAAGCTTCCACCGCACTCTGAGGCACCAAAAATTCACACCTTGCAAGTTCCCAAAAACCACTCACCAGTCTTAAACCATGCTACAAATGGCCATCCAGAGTCCAACAACTATGTATACACAACTTTGTGTGCAGATAAGCAAACAGAAAATCTAAAGAACCAACAAAATGAGAATCTGCTTAAAAGGCGAAGTTTCCCATTCTTTGACCACGCAAAAGGCAATTTGGATAGAAATAGTAAGCACTATGTATATAGTACACTTACGAGGAATCAAATTAGACAACCAGAAAAACCCAAGGAAGATTTACTAAAAAGTTCTAAAAGCATGCACAATGTGACCCATAACACGGAGAAGGATGATAAGGTTGTCAAGATAGACCCTCCAAGTGGCACTGCTACCAAGTCAATTTCCATTGCTGCTTTACCTGATGTGAACAAAGAGGAGTCCAACAAAGAACTCACTTCAAAGAAGGAGGTTAAGGGTTCTCCAAATTTTTTGAAAAAGGGATCTCAGAAGTTAAGGTCATTACTTAGCCTTACCCCAGAAAAGAAGGAAAATCTATCTAAAAATAAAGCACCTGCCTTTTATAGAATGTGTAGTAGTTCTGATACTTTAGTTTCTGAAGCTGAAGAGAATCAAAAACCAAAAAAATCAGAGACAAAAGTTGATTCATCTCCTAGAAGGAAGCGTTCTTCCGCATCAAATTCTCAAGAAAGCCTCCACAAGAGTAAGGAAGATGTAACAGTTAGCTCACCTAAGGCGGTAAATTCTCCATCAGATGAAAGCAATAAAATAATACCTTCTCCAGGTCCAGTTGAAAGCAAGTTCTCGGAAAGGGCAGGAGATGCCTCTGCCCCAAGATTTAACACTGAACAGATCCAATACCAAGATTCAAGGGGGATTAATGCAGCTGTTGCTCCTGAAAGAAGACCAGCTCCTTCTCCAAGGCCAAACCCCAGTGAGCTTCTAAGATCTCATTCAATTGACAGGCGAGTTTACAGTCGTTTTGAGCCCTTTTGTAAGATTGAGAGCTCTATTCAGCCAACATGCAACTTGTCGAATACCAATATACACCGCCCAGAAGTAAAATCCTCTACTATGGGCAACAATTATGGCAGGTCCAGCCCATTGCTTAATTACAACACTGGCGTTTATCGCTCATATCAACCAAATGAAAACAAGTTTCGAGGATTTATGCAAAAGTTTGGAAACTTCATACACAAAAATAAATAAAATACCATAATTTTAAATGATCATTAAAGTACAAAATGAATATGGTTGTAAATATTTATCCAAAGAGCACTCTGGACAGTTTTTGTAATGTGCCAATAGGCTTCTGTAATGGCAGAATTTGGATATGATGTATATGTTTAGAAGTGTACTAATGTACAATAAAAGTGTTATTGTTCTGTGTGATAAGTTAGTTGTGTTTAATTACACTACAAATGGAACTTCTCTCAAAATAACGTGATTTTTAAATGGTAATGGTAAAAAACAAATGTAATTAAATTGTTTTCTTCAAACTGAAGATCTTTTTTAAGTCTTAAGTAGGAATTGTCATGGAAAGATGGTGTATGGATTTTAACCATTCATTCCAAAGTCTTTCCTTTTAAAAAAAGGATCATAATAGCATCAGTGGCCCTTTCTGGCTTTATGGGTGTTTTAATTTCTTCAAAAGTATAAGAAAATGGAAAGAAGCCTTTTTTGTTTTTAATTAAATTTAAATCCTACTGGAAAACTTGTTATATTTCATTAACATTATATTAATTTTCCCATGGAGCACATGCACCTTGTTTGGTAACAGAAGTACAGTTTAAACTATATAGCTTAGCACCTTTTTTTTTTTGCCAGAAGTGGTTGCAAAGTATCAGCCCCATGTAGTGCAAGTTCATCACTGGAATTTGTTTTCCTGATTCTTTTAAAATCATCCTGGGCATGATTCTGTCCCCTCTAAGCCCAGGTAGCCTGTACTCCGCTCACCTGTCGGCTGCAGAACTTTTACAGTATTTCCTTACTCCAAACGTATAGCAGGCCAGCAGGAATTTGGAAAACCTGACATAGAACATATTTTATCTCTAACATAGATATATTTAGAAATATAAACTTCTGCATAAATATTTGTCTTAGATTAACATGAGAGTGCTTAGGTGTTTTGCTTGCAAAGCTCTTTTTTCTTTTCCAAACTGTGCCAAATATGGTATGACTGCATTGTGTTTTCGTAAGAGTACAACACTGAAAATGAGGAGAAGTGGTACCTGGCCTAGTTCCTCCATTACTGTGGGTCCTGGTAGAAGGATTTAAATCCTTCTAAGAAAGGCAAAGGGTATCTTAATTTGTTGCTCATATTCAGACTGTAAGATACCCTTTGCCTTTCTTAGAGTAATAAAATTTCCATATCCATTACAAAGATTTTAACTTGGATTTGCTTCATTCACAAAGAACAGAATTTAAGAAACAATGCATCATTTGAGGAATGTGATTTCTACAACACTTTAAGTATATTATTTAACACTTTCTGAGTTAGTCTGATGGTGCAATAGTTAAGTGCTTGGCTGCTAACTGAAAGGTTGATGGTTCAAACCCATCCAGTGGCTCTGCAGGAGAAAGACTTGGCAACTGCTCCTGTACAGATTACAACCAAGAAGACCCTATGGGACAGTTCTACTCTGTCACATGGGGTCACTATGAATCAAAATCGACTCGACAGCAACAACAACAAAGTTGCTATATAGGGCAGAGCTTTATTCTTTTAAAAAGTCATGATTCAGTCAAATGTTAATATCTATGTCATTAAGATAGTTTTCCACAGTATATAAAATTTATAAGAAGAAACGTCACAGTAGAAAACATGACAGTACAGAAAAGCAAAGCTAACATTTACTGAACATTTATGGTAGACCAGGTAGTGAGCTAGAATCTTATGTACCCACAATAATATTTTGTATCATTGTCCTCTCTATAGATAGTAATTGAGTTGATAATTGAGGCTCAGAAAGTAATATCCCAAGTCACATAACTAATAAGTGGTGACTCTAAAGTGTCTGTAATATTCTGTCTCATCACATAACCTCCCAAATGTGTTCAATGCCTGCCTCACCCAATCTGGTGAGGATTAAGTGAGAAAATGTTTATGTTTCCTGCCTCAACAGCAATCAGACAGAAAAGATTTAGTTAAATTTCAGCAGACAACAAGAAGACACAAGGGCTTATATTAGTCTTACTACTTTCTTTCTTAGTAGCTGAGATTAGGGAATTAAAGTGAAATTAATTTTGGAATGTAACTAGAAGGGTCAGTTTTAATTGCTAGGCAGCCATTTTTACCTCCTTGTTGTTGACCTGTCAGAATGAGAGGAAGGGAAAGAACCAGAAGTGATTTGTAACCTACTTTCTTGGCTTGTATGACAGAGATAGGAGTCCATTAGGTCAAGAAGCTAGGTGGAAGGAAAAGGATCTCATCATTAAGTATGTTACATCATTGAATATTCACAGTAACTCTGAGGTAAGCACCTACTCTTTGTGAATGGGAAAACTGAGTGTCAGAGTAGTTAAATAATTTTCCAAGAGTTACACAGCTCTGAGTTGGCAGAACTGGGGTTTGACTACTAAAGCCTATATATTTTTTTATGCTATACCCACTCAGCAGCTCCATGGGAGAAAGACCTGGCAATCTGCTTCCATAAAGATAACAGCCACGAAAACCCTATGGTGCAGTCCTACTCTATCACATGAGTGGCTATGAGGTGGAAATGACTCGATGGCACCTAACAACAGCAACCACACCAGACCTTGCTGGCTTCTACTCCATTATTCTTGAAGAATCTTTGAAAGTACTTGTCTCTCTGTTTCACTCATTCTGTCTTTAAAACTTGGAGAAATATACTAGTAACTGAACAGGATTGAAAGGAGCCCTGGTGGTGCAGTGGTTAAAGCACTCTGCTGCTAACCAAAAAAGGTCGGCAGTTTGAACCCACCAGCCAATCCACAGGAGAAAGATGTGGCAGTCTGCTTCCGTAAATATTTGCAGCCTTGGAAACCCTGTGGGGCAGTTCTACTCTGTCCTGTAGGGTCATTATGAGCTGGAATTGACTTGATAGCAGTGGATTTGGTTTGGGTTTGAGTATAGGATTAGCATTTTATAAACACAAATCTAGACTATAATAGTTTTATATCATTCATAAAAGTGGGTTTTAAGGCTCCCATTTGTAACAAAGGAACATCCCAAGTACTGCAGCATAGAATTTTATTGTCTTGGAAAGCTGAGTGTAATAGACTGGAAATTTTGCACACTTCTTAATAAATTAATAGCATAAAAATAAAACTTTGAGAGGGAACCGTCATTCATCACAGGAAAGGTAATTAAGTATATTTATGTTGTTATTAGGGGCCGTCAAGTTGGTTCCGACTCAGCAACCCTACGAACAACAGAAGGAAACACTGCCCCGTCCTGCACCATCCTCACAGTCGTTATGCTTGAGCCCATTGTTACAGCCACTGTGTGAATCCATCTCATTGACAGTCTTCCTCTTTTTCACTGACACTGAAGTATATTTATAGAAAATTTGTTTTTTTTTTTTCTTAAAAACTAACTTTTGGAGTGTGCATTTTCTTATAATCAGACAAGGAATTCAGTTCAATAAGAGAAAATTTTCTCACTGTCAGTGGGTTATTTTTTAGAAAGGTTTCTGGGTGGTGCAAATAGTTTCTGCTCAACTACCAACCTAAAGATTTGCAGTTTAAACCCACCCCACTGCACAGCGAGAAAAAGGCCTGGCAATCTGCCTTTATAAACATTACAGCCAAGAAAACCCTATGGAGCAGTTCTACTCTGTAACACAGGGGGTCAACATGAGTCGGAATTGACTCGATGGCAGCGGTTTTTCTTGTTTTGTTTGGTTTTTAGAACTAGCAATGTTAAGTTCTTCATATGTTGTTGTTAAAAAAAAAAACAAACAAAACCCGTTGCCGTCAAGTTGATTCCAACTCATAGAGACCCTGTGGGACAGAGTAGAACTGCCCCATAGAGGTTGTTGTTAGCTGCTGTCAGGTTGGCCTCTGACTCATGGCAACCCATGCACAATGGGATTGGACCATTGTGAACCCCACAGGGTTTTCACTGGCTGATTTTTTTTGGCTGTAGGTCACCAGGCCTTTCTTCCTTGTCGGTCAGACTGGAAGCTCTGCTGAAACCTGTTTCGCCAAAACCTGTTTAACATCATAGCAAGATGCACGCCTCCACTGATAGGTGGTGGCTGCGCATGGGGTGCATTGGTTGGGAATTGACCTGGGTCTCCCACATGGAAGGTGAGAGCTCTACTACTGAAGCACCACTGCCCCTATTTATAGGTTAGTATCATAAAAAACCAAACCCACTGCCGTTGAGTCGATTCCGGCTCATAGCGACCCTACAGGACAGAGTAGAACTAACTGACCCATAGAGTTTCCAAGGAGCGCCAGGTAGATTCAAACTGCTGACCTTTTGGTGAGCAGCCATAGCTCTTAACCACTACGCCACCAGGGTTTCCAGGTTAGTATCAGTTGATTAAAAAGTGTTAGAATTGGGAATTAGTGCATGGAAGAGATTGTTCATTTTGTTCTGAGCAAAATTTGACTCTGTAATTCTGCACCATAGTTCTTTACCTACTTACCAAAGTTCTGAACCCACAGTTAACCAAACAAGATTGACTTTTCTATTATCCATTCTTTGTTAGTAATAGATGAGACATCTTCCGTAGTTGAGGGGATAATGGACTGATTGTCATCAGGTAGCTCTGAAATGGAAAGCCTTGAAATTTACAACAATGTAACTTTAAAGATGAAATTTCATAAAGACCAGAGGTTTAATCATGTTTAATTATAAGCAATACCCTGTTGTCTTTTTGTATAGCAACTACTGTAAATTCTGGAAACTTATAGTTTATGGAAACAACATGTCAGATAATCCTGAGCTCGTCCCTCTTAGAGAATTGGGGACTGTAAGATCATATTTTCCTCTTGCTTTCTTTTCTCCACCTGTAACAGGTAGCTTAGGCTTTTGCATAGTAGATTTATTCTCTGCTTTTTTTTTTCTTTGATTATTTTCCTTCTATTTTTTTAATTTCTCCCAAAATACCTATATCTCAAAATCTGTACATAATAACTTCCCAAAGTTTCTGGAGCCAGGACACGCCTCAGGGTTAAGACTGAAAAAGTATATGATGCTTAAAAAAATCTACTTAGAGTTTTTGAAGTTTTTAATTGACACTGTGAAACTTCTTGGGTGTAATAGTTTTAAGCAATATACTTTCCTTGGTTTTCTCCCCATATTAATATTAGTGAAAACATAATGTCA